GATTTCGAATCTGCATTCAAAATCTGCCAAACGATTCTCTGAACGGAGTTATGGAGGAGGTCTCCAGTGAGCAAGCACAAAAGATATGGTCGCCGGCAGACTCGTCATAGCGGCTTGAGTAGAGGTAAGCGTGACGCTTGATAAGCATGGGGCCCAGGATCGGGTTTGGTGGGCGACGGCGTTTTGACATTTTGCAGGACTTTTTCCTTCAGGTTGCAAAAATCTTTTTATTAGGTTGACAAATAAGTCCTGCGACAAAATGGAGACCTTTTTTAAATCACTTCTAAATTTTTCCAGACCAATCAATTTTCGGAAATATATGCACCAAAGGGGTCAACAACCTTCTATTATCCTTTTAGTAAATCACTGATGCCATCTCTTCAGAAGTGAGGGAGCTGTGACTCAAAGAAGTAATTGACTGCCGTTTTTAGATCACATTATGTTACGAATTTTTTTCCCACAACGGGATGCCCAAGAAGGCGGAGCACATGGTAGCTGAAAGGGGCAACACTCCGGGAGTACGACTGATGAGTAACCTGGAACCAAGCGGGATCGTTGAACATTTGACGTGGGTTTAAAGCGAATTTTCGACGTGCGTTATGCCTCTGCAGGGACCTGATTTACGGTTTGATCGTCCTTCTCTAACCCCGTTGGCCTAATAAAGGGGATCAGAGGGGCAAGCGATAGCTGCGTCCATCTAGTCTGCGTTTTGCAACTCATAGTGGATGGATTCCTTCAACCTCTATTAAATTAAGGGACGATGACTGCGTTACCCCGAAGGCTGGTATCTCCTGCAGTGAAGCGATTCAGCCGATTGTTGACCCTCGATCGGTGAGCAGTGCTAGCATCGAATAGATTGCTGATATTTCGAGCCGCCACCCCCGCGTTTTTCCCTTGGCGTCCTTAGTTGAAGGTGTTGGTACGAATCGGGAGTTGTCCATTCATTGACCGTAATGCTGCAAAAGCCCACACGCGTGCCCTTATTTACTCATATGCTGATTGCCCGGGGAATGTCCTACAAGTTTATCACCCTTGCTACCGTGTTCACACCGTTGATACAAATTTTCAGTGCTTCGAATTTTTTGTGGCAGGACTTATTTGCCAACCTAATATGTTAGTTTTACCACCTTCGGCCACTTTTTGAATGCTCGAGGTGAATCAGTTCCTTCCAAAACCGTCTTACTCTCCGCAGTGACATCGATCAGTTTTTGAAAAAGGTGGAGGTTGTGGTCAGTTTTTAAAAAAGGTCATGGTTGACATGCTCGGAATTTGTAGGTTTGGGTGAGTAGAACGCACATGATGCGCAAACAACTGATGTTGGAGTGGGTTCGATCATGCAATGGCTGCTCCGGACTCACCAACATCAATGATGCTGGTGGTGGATTCTTGGACATCCTTTGAAGATAATGAAGCCATCCAGTCGGCACTCCCTTCACAGGACCAGTTGTAGATGATGAACATCCCAGCTGTTACTTCGAGGTCGATACCGCCCCTGGACGTTTATTTCTTCTCGCCATCGAAAAATATGTTCAAACGTATCACGTCTCATACGTATTAGCTCATGATCTCAAGTGTTGCGTATATACTCGCGATTCAACTCTCCGATTACGGCTTCCTGTGTACTTCCAATTCTATGCTCCTAGGTTCAAGAAGTGTTTCTCCTACTCATGGCACGCTGCCGGCTTCTTGAGCACACATCCAGCTGATTTTGAGACGTCTGCACAGTTCTGTTTTCCATCTGGTGTAGGAAATGATTGTAAAGGAACAGCCTGCGGTGAAAATTTTCTTCATTGCTCCCATTGTAAAAAACCTCTTCGTTTTGAACATTTTGTGCTAGATTTTCACATCTGCTTATAATAGGTAAAAGTTATCCCATTGTGGATTTGAAATGTGTAAGAATAGAATTTTTGCCATGTTTGTGATTAGAGTAGATGTCAGATGGTTCAAGTAGGAACTGACTCACCTCCAGCAAATAAAAAGTCGCTAAGAGCGGTAAAACTAACATAAAAGGATTTTTCGCGACCTGGATGAAAAAGACCTGCAAAATGCAAAAACGCCGTCGCCCACTAAACCCGATCCTTGGTCCCGTACCTATCAAGCGTCACGCTTGCTTCTACTCCGAGCCGCTACTGCTAGTCTGTCGGCGACCATATGTTTTGTGCTTGCTCTCTGGAGATCACCTCCATAACTCCGTTCAAAGATTCGTTTGGCAGATTTTGAACGCAGATTCGAAATCGGCATCAAAAAAAAACGTCCAGAAGTGTAGGTTTCATTTCAAATGGTCACTTCGACTTGGGATCCTTCCCTTGTGAGAAACGTTCCTCAGCACAATTACGGGCTATCCTCCTTATATGCGCTCTAGCGCTCAATGCTGAAAAGGAGGTCTCCCAACTACGTTACGTTACGTTCAGCTCCGTTATCTCTTCTCCATCTCATTCATCTTTTTCATCTTTTTGTTCACATACTTCTTATTTTTCATAATCCTCAACTTTTTCATCGCATTCTTCATCTTCTTCATCTTCATCTTATTAATCTTACTTTTCTTTCTCATTTTCTTCATCTTCTTCTTCACATTCTTTATAATATTCAACTTCTTCATCGCATTCTTCATATACTTCATCCCGGATCGGTATCCGCCAAGACCAACAGAGTCTTCTATCCCTTCGTGATCGGTTCATTGGTGTTTGATCGACGCCGAGAAATATACCAAAATCAATATCAATATTCATATTACTCAGATATCATCACTACTCTATTAAAATTATTATTACTAATGTCAATATTCATATAACTATAAATTTTATAACTTAATTAAAATTATTATTAGCAATGGTCGTAGTTCTAGTACTACAAGTATTATTAGTATTATTGGTGTTATTAGTATTATTACTATTACTATTATTATCACTATTATGATTATTACTATAATGCTGTTATGAGGGGAAATGTAGTTGGAGGGGAGAGGGAGTGCTCTTTCGAATTACCTAACTCTAGATCTCAGAAAAGGAGGGGTAGCCGACCTTACTAGCTCTTAGAGATGCTTTTCAACCAAAAGAATGTTGTTTTTACCTAACTTTAAGAAGGGGAAGAGCTCCGGGTTGGGTGAGATGCTTATCTCGCGCAAAAAACTGAGATGAGATAAGAATTGAACATCCATCTGGCTCACCCACCTCAGAGCTCCTCCCTTCTTGAAGTTAAACAAAAATACACGATTATAACATGAAAAAACTATGAAACGTTCCTAAGCATCTGTGGGGGAGTGTGAGACAGGATGTGTAGAAATTGGGAACGGAGAAGGATCAGCGGGAAAGGAATGATAGGCAATGAGAGTATATAAATGTTTGAGTTCTTTGAATTAATCATTCCACTCCCATTGTGTTCGCTTGACACCACAACTGGCGATCAGGTCGAACCGAAGAAGAAGCGAGGAGGCTGAAGAAGAATTCGAGAAGATGCAACTTCCGAAGAAGAATGAACGTGAAGTCCTGCACGGTCAGGAGTTGGAGGAAGGGAGTTGAAGGACCTGCGACAGGCCATGGAGCGCCACTACCAGCCAAAGAAGCTGGTAATGGAGCGTTTTGGCCTAATGTCGAGGGTCCAGAAGGCAGGACAAGCCCTGCATGGGTATTACGCGAAGCTGCAGAAAGCAGCGAATACATGCAGCTTCGGCGAGATCAAAAACCACCGGGGTGCGGTGGTAACTATGGTTCTCCTCGGGGGATTACTCTCGGTGGAGACGAGGAAGCGAGTGTCGGAGAAACAAGACCTGACATCAAAGGAGGCATTGAAACAGGCTGAGGCCTTCGAGCGAGTCGGGGTAAATGCTCCACATTTGATGTAGGGACCTCAAGCAGTAAGAGTGGCTCAGGTAAGGATGCGAAGCCAACAGTTAGCTAGGCGCAACAAACGGGTGAGCGGAAGAAGGAACCGAGCAAGGAGCCAGCTCGGAGGAAGTTTAGGTGTTGTGTTTGTGGAGCGCCAGGCCATGCCGGTTACGAATGTTCTATGAAGCAATCTGCATACTGTAGGGTATACCATAAGAAGGGCCATCTAGCAATGACATGTTGGAAGAATGCTAGGTTTGGCCGTAAAGTCTCCCGCCAGGTTCGCTGGGGTAAGGAGCCCATCGGAAGTTCCGACTGTGGTGGAGAGTTGGTAAGCCAGAGCGTGAATGTAGTTCCGTAAACCACGTTCGACCCACTGTCATAGAGCTAAGAGTAGCAACCGGTGTGTGGATCCCTTATGAGTGCAGTAGCAGCGAATCGCCGGGAGGAACAGTTGGGTAGTCCTTTGATTGGAAATTACGGTACGGCGAAGAACGACTGCACTGCGTATGATAGAGGCAGTATCAAGATGGTGGATGCCGCTACTGCACACGTTACTAGTAGAAATGAGCAGAACATTGATAAGGCAACTAGTGTTAGTGATATGCCCATTCGAGGTGAAATAGACCGGTTGGCGGATGAGCCGCCACGAATACTAGAATGGAATCTTGGAGGATGCTAGGCCGACCGCGCCTAAAGGAAGTGAACGTAGCGGCGACAGCAATCGATAATAAGCTTATTACATTCCAGGGCCAAGCTCCCTGATACAGGGTGTCCCAAAATTATGGGCGTCATTTCATAGCAATATATTTGAAGCTCTTCAGCTGAGAAAGACTGGAATTTCTATGCACGTTAGCTAACAATATGTGCTACAAACGTTGCAATCACCTTCCAAAATATCTCGCATGAGCGCGGATAGAGGCCCAAAGTTTGCTCTCGGTCTGATCGCATGTTGCACGCAGGTATCTTCTCCATTTCTTCCCAGCCGTTCTTCAGTCTTGGTTTCTAGGACTCCGAACTGGGACTGCAAACTCGGCAGGGCCTCTTCCAATCAGAGGCCGGACGGGGGAGCCAAAAGATCTAGAAAATAGCATGGCCATTCCTCTTTGCCAATGAAGTCAGGCATCTGTCATCGGCACCCCCCTCGCGGGCGAGCTTGGCTCTCGGGGCTGGAATAGCGTCCCGCTAGAAAGACTGCGAGCTGTTTCAGGAAACGTAGTCGGATCAGTGTTTCATTACGTCAATCAGTACGCTCTTTGAATACTGAACTTGATCAATTTCCACACTTCACCGACGAATCCACGAGCGTCTTACCCTTGTCAGTGACTCCCTCAAATAACATCATTCTATTGTTCTTATAGCGACCTCTTTGTGAGAGATTCACGCTTGATGTTTCTATCCGGAACGCGAACGTTTCGGTTGTCGAGGGATGGTTTTACCATAAAAAATTGGACAGAGAAAACGATGAAGGGTTGCGTGTCCTCACTGGCTGCTTTCATAGTCCGCCGGCCTGCCGGCGGGGCGGGGGCGGGGCGNGGGGGGGGGGGGGGGGGGGGGGGGGGGGGGGGGGGGGGGGGGGAGGAGGGAGGCAGACGGTCGGTCAGCCCCTTCGAAGGGCTGGAAACAACGAAGAAAAAGATCAAAAATCGAACGACCAGGGGCTTGTGCAAATGGTTTTTAGATCTTGTCTCTCTTTGTTTACTCCTTCGAAGGGGCTGACCCACCGTCTACATTCCTCTTCCTCCCTAGCACTGCCTCGGCACGCCGGCGGACTATGAAAGCAGCCACTCAAGCGAGTCTGCGACTTTCTGCATTTTTTTGGCGCTGCAGCGTCTGTTGAGATCGGATCTGAAGCGACATTCCTGCATACGATAGGAACGGCAATAGAGCTTTTGCTTGACAATCCGTCCCACCGACAACTTCGATAAGTCTTGCTTCTTTGCTTTTTTTTTGGTGGGTCGCCTAACATTACGATCGACTCGCAAATGGACCATTTTAAAGGCCCTATCTTCGGGAACGCTGGCCTTTCTACCCTTCCTTAGTTTGTCTTCAAGTGAATCTTCTCCCCTGTATCGTTAAATAGCTTTCTCTGCGGATATTATAAGAATCACAAAGAATTTCATAATGCCCTTGTGGGAGTTTCACATCGGTAACCATGCATATTGCAAGAAACCTTATACAGATAATCAATAGCGGAAAAATAATTTGATAATTATTTCTACCTTAGACATTTCTGAATTTTGGCGCCCGTAATTTTGGGACGCTCTGTACATAAGGTTGGCCCTTCAAGGAGGCAAGTCACTCCTTGTGTGGGAGAGGCACGGTAAGGAGACTGCAGATTGATTGTGGACTACATTGTGAGAGATTGCACAGCGTTACACAAATGCCCAAAGTGGAGATTAAAAAAGAATCAATGCGCATTCTAGACAATAGTAGGAAGTTGTTCCAAGGTGGTTTCTTCAAGTGCATAATTGCACGAGCTGAGCTCAATTTCAAAAATGAGGTAGTAGAGCCCGTCTTTCAGCCAAGTTTTTCAGAGCTAGACCAGTTTCTATCGCTTGAGGCCCAAAGCGAAGGCTAAGCGGAAAGGAATAGTGTGAAACGGAACCATAAGAAGTAGAGCATAGTAAATGGGCCACGCCGTTAGTAATAGTCCCCAAACAAGGCGAGAAAATAAGAATATGTGGCGATTATAAGGTCACAAGGAACCCGCTACTAGACACTAATCAGTACCCGTTGCCTAAACCAGATGACTTAATCCATATGCTGCATGGTGGCAAAAGTTTTCAAAGGTTGATTTGTCAGAAGCGTATATGCATGCAGATGGAAATGGAGGAAAGCTCGAGGGAGTGTACAACAATTAATACATAAGGGGCTATCCCAGTATACGCGGATCCCGTTTGGAATCGCGTCGGCACCAGCAATATTTTAGATGGATAATGGAAGAGACCCTGGCAGGCATAGAAGTGCTGATTTGCCTGGACGATATTACGGTAACAGGTCGAGATGATGGGCCACATTTGAGAAGGCTAGAAGAAGTTTTAGGTAGATTGGACGAGGCTGGTTTCTGCCTCAAAAGAGAGAATTGTGAGTTTTTCAAGGAATAGATGGAAGAGTTTTTAGGCCACATGGTCGATGAGAAGGGTATTAGGCCATCCTCAAATGAGCTGAAGGCAGTAGAAAACATGCCAGAGCCGAAAAATTTAAAAGAGTTAGAATCTCATCTAGGCATGGTACTATATTACGGCAAATTTCGAGGTTAGTAACGCGAGCACCGCCATTGAACTTCTGTGGAGAAAGAGAGGTGCGGAAGAAAAAGTAACCTTCAGTCGGATCCATGAGAAGCTCATGGATACATTGATGCATTGTGATCCCGATTTTCCGGTAATATTAGCTACCGATGCCTCAGAATAAGGTATTGGCGCACTTTTTACCATAGGTGGACAAAAGCGAGAAAGTCAATGTGTACGCATCACGTTCCTTGACGAAACAGGACCACAGTTACGCCCAAATAAATAAAGAAGCTTTGAGATAGTATATGGAGTTGAAAAACTTAAACAGTTCCTTTACGGTAGACGGTTTACGTTACTGACGGATCATCAGCCGTTAGTAAGGATTCTTGGCCTCAAACCAGGGATGCCAATGATAGTAGCAAAGAAGCTGCATAGATGGGCGTTAAGATTCTTGTTATATCTGTTGAAATCGAGCATAGGAAGGCGGCCGAATTTGGAATGCGGACGGGTTATCAAGGTTGCCGGATGCAAAGAAGTTGCCCAGTGCGGAGATGGTAGTAAATGAGTTGCATACATAACTGATGGCAGAAGAAGTTGTAGAAAGTCTGCCTCTAACCGAGGCTCAGATAGCCAAGGCCACTCGAGAAGACTTTCTGCAGTGGTTAACTAAGTGCAGAAGGGTTGACCAGAAAATGTTCGAAATTAAGGGTTGAAGCCATATGCCATGAAGAGGAGACAGCCTTGTCAATTCAAAATGGATGCTTATTGTGGGGATACAGAGCGATTATCCCCAAAAAGTTCCAGCAAGTTGTGCTGAAAATGTTGCACAACAGCCGTCATGGTAGGAATAGAATGAGAAATCCTGGGAGAACCAAGATATGGTTCCTAGGCATGGATAAAGTAATAGACGAGGTGGCTAAGAAGTGCATCACATGCGCGGTAAGGGTAGAGATCCCGTTCGGATACCCTTACATCCATGGGGGGAGCCAGAGAGTCTGGCATAGGCGGCACATAGACTTATAGTGGTGGCCAGAAGCTGTCAAAATGGGCGTTACCAAGGTCGAGAAAACGACGATGAAGTTATGAGGGGTTTTCAGCAGGAATGGATTGCCTGAACAATCGGTTTCTGACAGTGGACCCCGTTTACGTCGGCTGAATTCCGTGAATACTGCGAGAGAAAAGGGATTCAGCAGACATTCACGCCGCCATACCATCCTAATTTAAATGGTGAGGCGGAACGCTTCGTGCAAGTCTAAAAATTTTCTGTATAAGGGGTTGCGGTTCGGGAAAACGCAGCGCAGTAGTGGACCTTCTTTTCAGTTTAGGGTGACCCTCCATGTGTCAGCGGGGAAGTCGCCCGCGGAAATGCTGATGGGTAGAACGCTTTGCATTGTAAAGCCTGGGAACTCGGAACGTAATAATAGAGAAGAGGTGAAAAGAAATTACGATAGTGGTAAAAAAGAGAAAAGCTTCATGATCGGACAAGAAGTATTTAGAAGGAACTATACTGGAGTAGGAGACCGATGGATTCTCGGGATTGTGATGAAGGTTTTGGGCCCGAGCACCTATGAGGTGCATTATGGCGTTGGGGTTAGGAAAACCCATGCCGATCATTTGAAGATGCGGATGATTCCATGGAAATTAGTAGATGATGAAGTATTAAGAAAAGTGGACCGAAATGCCCAGAGGCGAAGTGCGGAACAGGATTTACCGAGCAGGTCGTGTAAATCAGGTCCTACAGAGCAGGACGGGTTGCGTCGCTCGCAAAGCTCGTTCATTTAAAATGGGAAGCATAAAAGGAGAAATGAGGTAAGAGAGAAAAATGAGATAAGAGAGAAAAAGAAAAGCAAGCGATGTCATGGGCGACCTCATAAAAGAGGCTGGAGGGAGTATGGACTCTCACTCACGGTTGCCGTGTGGACCCACCCGCGACGCAAGGATCAGCGGGGCAAGCCCCGCAAGCAACTTTGCCGGCGATCCTGCTCTGCATTCCAGCCGGCAGTAGCGATGTTGATACCGCCGGTGACGGGGTAGGCGGCGGTGGTACCCTGGATGGTGCAGCAGCGGAACAGGTTGCTGTGAGCGGCCATCCGGAAACTGGTGCAGGACATGCACGAGCATCGAAGTGGAAGTGGCCGAAGGAGGAGCAGAAGCCGAAGCGATAGCCGCTCTCGGGGAGAGCGAAGCAATAGGGAGTGCGGTGGAGTACGCACTCGAGATGATGATGGTGAACTTTGATTGGTAAATAAATAATTGTGTTAACTGTTCTGTTGTGTATCTAGAACTACAGACAAGTTGGCGTCCCGTCTTGAGTGATTGTAGGGTCACCAGGGGAGGTGTGAGGGAGTGTGAGAGAGGGTGTGTGGAAATGAGGGATGAAGAAGGATCAGCGGGGTAGGAATGATAGACTGATAGACAATGAGAGAGTACATAGGTGCTTGAGTTCTATGAATAAATCGTTCCACTCCCATTGTGTTCGCCTGGCACCACAACTGCACCATTACGGGCTCGGCTACTCTTCCTACTCTGCGCTGTAGCGGTCAGCAATTCAAAAGGACGTTGGTGTTAAGTTTAAATGAGTTGTCGATCCATTATCATGAATGCCCAGGATTGTGAGACAATCTGATTCCGTTCTAGTAGTTCTTCAGTAGTTCTTTGGTGAATCCTAGGGGAATTCTGAATTACGCCCTTGTGGAAGACCTCCTGCTTTTGCAGATAACTTTTTTGTTTGTTGTGTTGAACTTTTTTTCGAGCTCTGTTTTTCTGCTTTGGTGCTCTCATTGAGTCAGGTTTCGAAGAATCGTGAAGCCTCTCCTTATCCAGCAGGCGTTCCGTATTCGCGCGCATTGATGGATCTTCTTCCGAGATACTTTTATTATTCTCGCACGGTGCCGTCCATTGAAACGCGAAGCAAGGGCAAGACCCTGACAGGCATCAATTCGGTAATCTTGTCTCAAGTGTGATTTATTTTCCAAAGGCATTTGTTTGGGAATTTGCGCCGCGGAACCTCTAGAAGCATGATAAAAATGGCTGCAATTGAATGTATTTGTGAATGAATGAATGAATTCGATGTAGAGTCATTCTCGAGAAATTACAACTGTATGGATAGAGATTTGAAAGCTTAAAAGAAGTTCAAGCAGAAAAACAAATGACGTGCCCTATTCGCTCGCTGCAGCGGTTCGATTTTTTTTCGCTGACGAAGCGGTGTTCGGCGTGGAAGAAGTGAAGTTTCAGATCAAAGATGTGTTAAGATTCCAAAGCACCTGCTTGGAAGTGGAAGAAGATCAAGACTGGTGCTGGAAAAATGTTCCCGATTTTCATTCCTGTTTTCGATTGTCCTAAGAATCCTACCGACCGCAGTCTAGTAGTCTGTAAGTATGGTCCATGCTAGAGAGGAAAGCCTGCGCTTTAAAACACACCATATGGCTGCTTCTAGGGAGCCTTAAAGAAAGCTCAGACTGGCAATCCTCAGAAACTTCTGTGTGCTGCCGACGATGTGTATTCGAGAGTTTTCCAGCTAATTACTACGGGAGAATTGCATCAAGTGGCAGTACGCTATTTTTGTTGGTACCCATACATAATAAATAGTTCACATGCATTCACCTCGAATCATTCTAAATTGCGGTTTCTGCATCAGAATTGTTTTGTTACCATTTTTATGGCGCACAATGGTGCGTGGAATGCGCGCCATTTTGCCAAGGGCGATCTAATGTTTTCCGTCCGTGAAAACATTACGGGGTTCCTGTTTGCGTCCGTGAACTCACTGTTACATGACGTAAACCACAAATGAGGGCACCTTATCAACTTGAAAAACTGTTCATGTTTCAAGTCGATTAGGGGCTTTCATTTGTGGTTCATGTCATTTAAAGAGAGTTCATCTCTTTTAGATGCTGAATTGAGGACAACTCAGTGGTACTTTTTTGATTGATTTTCGCCGACGTCTCAGCTTTCCGTGCCCTCCTCTCTTCACCTCGTTGTAAACATGTTGTTAACAACGTTAATTTCGCATGCCTGTGAAATTCAGTCCCGGGGTTTACGGGTCTCTTTCAATAAAATGCAGGTATTTTTACAGAACCATATGCAACGTTTGTGTTTTCGCATCATCGAGTTCACATTGAACCGATCTGTTATTTTTGAAGTGCAGCAATTTTGAGGCTGTACAGGTGCTCTTCCACCGCATCGGCACTGACTTGTTGTTGATTGACATGAACTCTTGGATTGTTTTACGAGTTTGCTCAGTCAGGTTTTATTCATTTATTATTATTGCACGACTGGTGTCCACGTATATGACCATAGAAATATGTAGAATAGAAAGAGGTTCTCTGTATTAGAGAAATTGCATGAGTAAAAACATATGAATCTCCCTTAACAGTACATGCTTAGCGCCAGAAGAAAAGGGGAAAGATGTCAAGTTAGTAAGAGCTGCGAGATGGAGAATAAACGAGGAAATCGCAATGAGCGATCTAGTTGGGAACCATAAAGCTAACCAGGCCCGAGGCCCAACATGAGGGCGAGTGCCACTGCACCTCATTGACCTAAACACGGATCCATTCCGGTGGCTCGGTGGCGCTCCACAGTAGTCAGTCCAAGGCACTTACAAAGTAGCAGGTTATGACAAAAATAGCGATCAGGCGAGGCATGCGTCATGATACATAGTAGGGGTAAGATTTCATGAGCAAGATCAGCAGAGAGAAAAGAAAGAAAAGAACCTCTCTACATATAAGAAACTAGCGGATTATCTCACCGGTGTGCGCATTCGACCGTGGTCATTAGCAAATAACAGACTAAAGCAGAAATAGCAAGGAAAGTTAACGCTACATACTGAGGAAGTCTACTGATACCAGAGGAACTGATAACACCAAAGCTAAAAAAGTCAGCAATCCTAAGTAATGTCATAAAATCTACTTTAAGCAGTGCTCTCTCGAATAGTAAGACCCCATATACCATAAGAATATCCAAGGACAATTCATTCAACCAGCTAGATGTACTGCAGCAGAACGAATTTCTGTAAATGTCATGAGAACCGACTGCGGTACAAAGGTCTGGAAACATATGTTTCACACGGTCTCCAAAGAGAAGAAGGTTCAAATCGCCTAGATTTCTAGAGAACGAGATGAGGCCTACCTCTGAGTATTCTAAAAGCTAAAACTAAATCCGCAAAAGTCCGCCTAAATAGGAGTCTTCTCAATGCAAGCTCTCCAAGCCGCATCCTTTAAGGTGGCATGGACCTAGGATAGCCTTGATCTGGAAACATTCAATAATAAACTACTCTTAAGGTAATTTGCATATGCTCGCTTCTATCAATAACCTTTTTGATAAGGGCTCTATACCTAATTGGAACATTCAAGAATAGGGAGAACGTAAGCCTTGTATATCCTAATTAGGAAATCAGGTCAGATGTCTTGACAATCCTGAACAAGCTGTACAGTCACCGAAGGGCCGTGGATACTATACGTTCAATATGAATTTCCCAATTCATCAAGCTCGATATGGTTACCCCAAGATCGCGAGCCTGACTTCGATATTACATGGGATTAATTCCTTCCTCTACGTCCAATTCGGGCGCTCTCTCTTCCATAGTGAGTGCCAGGTTTTCGCAAAATTGAGGTTAAGACCCCATTCTTGAGTCCATGAGGGTATACGGACCAAAATGCTTATCAGGGCTGTCACACTAGCGGATTAACCACAACCAGGACTAGTAAAGGTTTTGATATTATCTGGAAAAGCGTACATCTTGATGTTGTCGCTGTGTGCAAGCTTCGTTGGAAGATACTTCGTGTATATCAAGAGTAAAAGCGTGGATAGAACACCCCCACTCCACTTACTAACCAGGGAAGGATCCCAAGTCGAAGTGGCCATTCGAAATGAGACCTACATTGCTGGACGTGTTTTTGGATGCTGAGTTCAAATCAGCTTTCCAGATTTGCCGAGCGTTTCTGTGAACGGAGTTATGAGGGTGGTTTCAGGGAGCTTAACATGAGAAAACTTTAAGTACATGGATGTACCTCATCTCCCAACGGCGGCTTGGTGTACTGGTAAGCGTGGCGCTTCATGTGCGAGGGACTAGGTTCGGGGCTTTGTGAGGGACAGAATTTTTGCGCTGTAAAGAATTTTCCCATGAGGACCAGAAAATACTCTCATGGTGATTTTATCACGTTTCATCACCTTTCAATGCTTTGCTGATACCTTCTCCTATTTATCTACCTGTTACCGAGTGGGAGATCCCTCCGTGCGCAAAATTTGGAGCTCCGCGCGAGCAAAACGCATATGATGTGCAATGATGATGCTAGAGTGGGTGTTGATGCTAGATGGGTGCGATGGTGCGTAGCAGCTCCGGACTCATCGACTCCGGCACTGTTGATAATGGACTCGTGGACATCATTCAAAGACCAGAAAGCTATTTAGTACGTCTTACCTCTACCAAAGAGGATGAAGGGAATGACACCCTGCTCGAGGCTTCCACAAAGCTAATACAGCCGATAGAAGCTCATTATTTTTTTTAGAAATGTGGTTGATCGCACCGCCTCACATGTAAAAGCTCGTGATCTCATCTTTTGCGTGTACACACGAGACCCATTCTTCGCTTACTATCGCTTGTCTTCTTTCAGTTCTGTGCTGTTAGATTTAGGCAATTTCTCTTTTATTCATGGTATGCCGCCAGCTACTTAAACAATCACCCGGGTGATTTTGAAACACCTACACAATTCTGTTTTCTCTTTGATTTTGTAAGTGATTGTGAAGCACTTGACTGTGATGAGTTCTTTTTCATCCGTTGCTTCCATTAAGAAAAGCTTCTTCGTTTCGAGCATTCCGTGCCAGAGTATTGTTCATTAAGTGGCAAAAGTTATCCTACTGTGAATGTAGAGTGCATGGGCATGCGAGTAAAACTGAAGTATTACATTATTTGGAGCAAAAGCAACAAATGGTCATAAAAGGTGATAAAATCACCATGAGAGTATTTTCTAGTCATGAAGGAAAAAAATCTATATGATGCAAAAATGCCGTCCTCCACAAAAGCCGAACACTAGTCTCTCGCACATGAAGCGTCACGCTTACCGTTGTACCAAGCCGCCGTTGAGAGGTGGGGCACATCCATGTAATTTAAGTTCTCTCATGTTAAGCTCCCTGAAACCACCCTCATAGCTCCGTTCACAGAAACGCTCGGCAAATTTGGCAGCAGATTTGAACTCAGCATCCAGAAACACCTCCAGCAACTCAGGTCTCATTTCAGGTGGCCACTTCGACTTGGGATCCTTCCTTGGTTAGTTTATTGTGCTTTCTAAGTTCGAAATAGATGATACCAGCATTTTCCATAAGTCTAGTGCTTTCGCCCACAAGTGGGTACATTCGAGAAGCTGCTGTTGTGCTGTGAATTCTTGATGAACCCAAACTGTTTTCGAGGAGTGAGGTCAGAGCCAATGTTCCATAACTTTACATGGTGTCGTTGTTATACTGGTGGGTCCAAACTCAGCTTTGAAGCAGAAAGCTTCTTAAGAGTCGCTGTAAGCATCGATTGTTTCCAAAGAGTAGGCACTTCGCCCGTCATGAGTGTTATATCAAAATGTGACACAGGGGAACAGCGGCAACAGCAGTTTCTTGACAAAATTTTATAGAAAATGACCGGAGCTTGATCCGAGGGCAAAGAGCAGAAACTTTTTATTTTGCTAAATGTTGTTCAACAATATAGGGGTCAGTAACTGGTAAGGTAACTGGTAAGGGGCACTAACAATTGAGAAGAATAGGAATACTATTAGTTGAAGTGTCAAATGATGAAAGCAGCGTGGGAATGGAGTCAGGCAAAACGTTGGCTTTCTCAGAATTAGTGTTTAAAGCACGGCCGCCTAATTCGAATATTGGAAAGATTTATTCTTTCTGCCTAAGCGCTTGTTCCACACATAGAAATACGTTCTCGTTTATCACCGCCCAGTCGGTTGAATAAGTCAGGCAGTGGCTATGCACGTACAGAACGAAAATGTGAAGAGTATCTGGTTGGAACATTACGTCCTACACCTCATTTTTATTGCTCATTTCTCCCGCATTTTTGCCTATGTCTTGATAATGCTGCGACTCGTTGTGGTTGCAGTGAAATCCATAAATCCAAGTGTGGCCAGAATTCCAGGAGCTATCACGCAACAGTGGTGAACCTGTTCTTAATCAAAACGAGGATTTTCCCCGCTTCCGAAGCAGGCAGTCGCAGTCGTTGAAGGGCAAAGGACCAGAAAGGCGGTGACTGATGCTCCAAGAAGTGGTAAGCCCCGTCCAACCTCTTTACGTCCAAGTAAACGCAGTGCCTAATGTAGAACAGCTTGTATCAATACAACTCGCTTCGACATCGCTAGCGAATTCGATGGTGGCGACGGACTATTTATTTCGAGGTGACCAGGGATATCATTGAGCAGTGACAGAGAGTAAAGAAATCTACCATAATGAAGGCGCGGTTTTATTCCGAAAATCGTTAAGTTAGATCGTTATATGCTTGCTGCCTTTCATTCCATGCTTAGTATTTTGTGAGTGGACCCATATATTTCGATGTGCTGGGTCCGACTCTGCCGTCGAATTGGGCCGTGGTGTCGGCGAGAGAGGTTTGCTCTAGAACCAAATGCGATGTGTTTATTCCGACGTAAAAAGCTTGTCCGTATCGCTTTTCTTGTCTTCTGGGGTTCGTCGAAGCTATTTGCTATAAAAGCTCCGATATCAACTGTGACGGCAACCGTTTTCTCTAGCTCTCAACATCTTGGGCATAGAATGTGTTAAGAATTTAAGTGGCTAATCGAAGCACAGCAAGCAGCATGGTAATGCTGCTGATAAGTGGCATGATTGGACACCGCTCGCTGTCCAAAGTGACAATTTCGCGGACTGGGGCGTCCACGAAATCGTTAATGTAGACACGTGCGTTGAAATTTGGAAGGGTTACAAACGGGCAATACCAATGGCAGGCGGCATGTAGACTCCGCTCAAAGGAGAATGGCGTGCGCAATAACAGTTTGAAGCCGGAGTGTCCGCATTTGATAGGGATGCAGCGCCAAAATGGGAACACTGATGACCGGTAGCATGTGTAGACTCCGCCTATTGCAGCAGGACCTGCGCGAAATTTCTCTCTTAGAGCGAGAGCGTTCAAATTTGGTGGGAGTACAGGCGGCAAGATGGGGCACTTATGATATGTGGTAGGACTAGACTCAGCTCACCAGTGGCGGTGTGCGTGCGAAGAATGGTCTCAGGATGGGACGCCGCACGCTGAATACGAGGCGCGAAATGAATGTCTGACCAGAAACTCATTAATTCTGCTCCCATTACCTCGAGCGTTCAACTCTGGTGAGAGTACAAGCGCCAGGATGGGAACACTGATGATAGGTGGCAGGACTGGATTCCGCCCACAGGGAGCGGAGCGTGAGTGAAAACTGTCTATTCGGGTCTAGAGCGTTTAGGTTTAATAGCGGTACAACCAGCAGCATGGTAATGCTGATGATAAGTGGCATGATTGGACACCGTTCACTGACCAAAGTGACGATTTCGCGGACTGGGGCATCCACGAAATCGTTAATGTAGACACGTGCGTTGAAATTTGGAAGGGTTACAAACGGCAATGTGGAAATACTAATGGCGGGGTGTAGGTGCAGACTCCGCTCAGAGGGGACGGGGCGTGCGGAAAAACAGTGGAGATAGNAGAGGGAGGGCAGTGGTGAGTCCAAAATCAACAATCCTACCTTAAGGCCTTCTACATTACGTATCGTTAATTCACAACTAGGCCCCCTTGTTCACAGGTAACGCTCACGTGCGGTAATTTTTACACTGCGGGCATGTTGGCCGATACACAAATTTGCTCTATCGGTCTGTAGTGTAATTAATCGCAGCATTGTTCCATATAGTCCTAGTGTTCCAACTCCGAGATTGTTGGATAGATGCCCTGTGATTACAGCTGTGTCGATCGCTAATAACGACCGATTTTGACCTCTGTAGTTTTGTACTGCTTGATTGCTGCTAAGCAGGCCGGCCCATCATGAGTCCTTCACTTTTCTTCTGGAAAAATGATAGGTCCGACAGGTGTAACCAGATCGTGGACACGATTTCTTCTGAGCATCCCGTATATAGGTTTTCTATTAGACCGTGTAGTTTTGTTTTGAGATCTGAATCTCCCATTGCAACTCCATGGTTGTCTCAAGGATTCTCAATTGTGAGGCTTCTTTTAAACTAAGATTCGTGCTTCCTTATAACTAATCTACTTTATATTTTTAACACGTTGACGACAACGCGGGACACATATGTCCCGCATTTTGCAGGCCACGTGGGACAACGCGGGACATATGTGCCCCGCGCACATTTCCCAATTTTTTTAAGCGCATGCGTAATTTATTAATATATTTTTTGTGTTTATATTACAGATCAAACAGTAACAAAGCTATAAACATAATGGTCCATTAAATGATCAGATGTGCTCCATCTTTGCACAAGTTTTCTGTGTCTCAAAGAATTTTGGGCCTACTTTAAAATTCGGCATTTATATTGAGATCAACAAAAACAAGTAAAATAAAAACATTGAAAGCAAGCTATTCATTGTAGGTTGGTAGCAGTTGAATGTTTTCTCATTTCATCAGCGCTCATTCTCATTGAAATTCTTCACTTTGCCGAATAACGTAGCTATTGGTTTTTCTAACAATCAGGCCAGAATCTCTCTATTCAGAAACAGTTCGTAGGAGTCTGTTGGTTCCTCACAGTCATAAGCAACATCATGTATGCCGGAGACACCGCTAAAAGTCTGAGCATCGTGCGGCGAAGCATCGCTTAGCCACCATGCTTTCACTATCGGATTTTTCTTCTAATTTAGATTCCATATCTTCTTCCATATCATCTACTCCTTCAGTAGCTTGTTGCTCTCCGTCGTCCGAATTCGCGCATTCTCCGGTAATCTCGATCTCCTCTCTTCGCACTGCGGTGTCAGACGATGGTCGAGTTGTATAGGGCCGAGCTGTATAGGGCCGTCCAACTGTTCTTCTATTCCAGCCATTTGTATGGCCGTATATACATTTGTTAGAGCGGAATATTTATTATGTAGAGCATTTTTGTGTGCTTTATATTATTGGTCAACTTACTAAGTAGCGATAAGTAGTTGAAAGTAGGTTTTACACTCAAGCTTCGAAGAGCGCGCCTCAAGGGACAGCGCGGGACGTATGTGTACCGCGGTCGAAGCTGCCGCAAAATTGCGTATGTCCCACACGGCCAAAAATGTCCAAACGTGCGTTGTCGTCAACGTGTTAAGAAAACATTCCTTCTGCTCAACTTGAATGCATGCCAACATTAGTCTTGGTTTGAACTGCCGTCGGACTTCGCCGAACGAAACAGTTGTATTTCAAATCGGCGAAAATTTTTGGCACGTTTTATTCGCCTCAAGCCAGGGGTCCAGCGCCATAAAAGTCGTTCGCGACATCCGCGCTGAGAATAGAGGGGAAGTCACGAGGGAACGAACCTTCGACAGCAGTTGGCCTCTGCTTCCGCGTCCTAGAACTACCCATAGTCAGAGCGAGTCTTTATCAGATCGTGACAGGCCACGAAAGACGGTTCCTCTATCTGCACAAGAGGCCTAGTAAAGCAGGAGCTGTAAATTAATGCCATCTCTCTGGTGCACTGAAGGGAAATTCTCTTCTACAAGCTATTTGAAACTAACAGGGCCGTGGGCGCTAAACAAAACAACTGCGCCTGCTCTACAATGCAAACCAGCATCGAGGCCAAAACGTCAAAGCGATGTCATTCTCCAATACGATAATGCTCGTCCGTACAACGCGAAAATCACGAGACCACTCAAGAGGAGCCCAATGGGGAAGTCATACTATGTTCAGCATATTCACCCAATTTAGACCCCCCCCCCCAAATTTTCGTC